TGGAAAATATTCTGCAAGATATCATCCAGGAGAACTTCCCCAACCTAGTAAGGCAGGCCAACATTCAACTTCAGGAAATACAGAGAACGCCACAAAGATACTCCTCGAGAAGAGCAACTCCAAGACACATAATTGTCTGATTCCCCAAAGTTGAAATGAAGGAAAAAATGTTAAGGGAAGCCAGAGAGAAAGGTCGGGTTATACACAAAGGGAAGTCTATCAGACTAACAGTGGATCTCTCAGCAGAAACTCTCTAAGTCAGAAGAGAGTGGGGCCAATATTCAACATTCTAAAAGAAAGGAATTTTCATTCCAGAATTTCATATCCAGCCAAACTATGTTTCATAAGTGAAGGAGAAATAAAATCCTTTACAGACAAGCAAATGCTTAGAGATTTTGTCACCACCAGGCCTGCCTTACAAGAGATCCTGAATGAAGCACTAAACATGGAAAGGAACAGCTGTTACCAGCCATTGCAAAAACATGCCAAAATGTAAAGACCATCGATGCTAGGAAGAAACTGCGTCAACTAAGGAGCAAAATAATCGGCTAATATCACAATGACAGGATCAAGTTCACACATAGCATTATTGACCTTAAATGTAAATGGACTAAATGGTCCAATTAAAAGACACAGACTGGCAAATTGGATAAAGAGTCAAGACCCATCAGTTTGCTGTATTCAGGAGACTCATATCACATGCAGAGACACAAATAGGCTCAAAATACAGGAATGGAGGAAGATCTACCAAGCAAATGGAGAACAAAAAAAAAGCAGGATTGCAATCCTAGTCTCTGATAAAACAGACTTTAAACCATCAAAGATCAAAAGAGACAAAGAAGGCCATTACATAATGGCTTCCAATCAATAGAAAAAGAGGGAATCCCCCCCTAACTCATTTTATGAGGCCAACATCATCCTGATACCAAAACCTGGCAGAGACACAACAAAAAAAGAGAATATTAGACTAATATCCCTTATGAACATCGATGCAAAAATCCTCAATAAAATACTGGCAAACCGAATCCAGCAGCACATCAAAAAGCTTATCCACAATGATCAAGTGGGCTTCATCCCTGGGATGCAAGGCTGGTACAACATACACAAATCAATAAACGTAATCCAAATATAAACAGAACCAAAGACAAAAACCACATGATTATCTTAATAGATAATTAAGATAGAAAGGCAGAAAAGGCCTTTGACAAAATTCAACAGCCCTTCATGCTAAAAACTCCCAATAATTCAGTTTTGATGGAACGTATCTCAAAATGATAAGAGCTATTTATGACAAACCCACAGCCAATATCATACTGAATGGGCAAATACTGGAAGCATTCCCTTTGAAAACTGGCACAAGACAGGGATACCCTCTCTCACCACTCCTATTCAACATAGTGTTGGAAGTTCTGGCTAGGGCAATCAGGCAAGAGAAAGAAATCAAGGGTATTCAGTTAGGAAAAGAAGAAGTCAAATTGTCCCTCTTTGCAGATGACATGATTGTATATTTACAAAATTCCATCATCTCAGCCCAAAATCTCCTTAAGCTGATAAGCAACTTTGGCAGTCTCAGGATACAAAATCAATGTGCAAAAATCACAAGCATTCTTATACACCAGTAACAGACAAACAGAGAGCCAAATCATGAATGAACTTCCATTCACAATTGCTTCAAAGAGAATAAAATACCTAGGAATCCAACTTACAAGGGATGTAAAGGACCTCTTCAAGGAGAACTACAAACCACTACTCAGTGAAATCAAAGAGGGTACAAACAAATGGAAGAACATACCATGCTGATGGAAAGGAAGAATCAATATCATGAAAATGGCCATATTGCCCAAGGTAATTTATAGATTCAATGCCATCCCCATCAAGCTACCAATGACTTTCTTCACAGAATTGGAAAAAACTGCTTTAAAGTTCATATGGAACCAAAAAAGAGCCCGCATTGCCAAGACAATCCTAAGTCAAAAGAACAAAGCTGGAGGCATCACGCTACCTGACTTCAGACTGTATTACAAGGCTACAGTAACCAAAACAGCATGGTACTGGTACCAAAACAGAGATGTAGACCAATGGAACAGAACACAGCCCTCAGAAATAATACCACACATCTACAGCCATCTGATCTTCAACAAACCTGACAAAAACAAGAAGGGGGAAAGGATTCCTATTTAACAAATGGTGCTGGGAAAATTGGCTAGCCATAAGTAGAAAGCTGAAACTGGATCCTTTCCTTACTCCTTATACGAAAATTAATTCAAGATGGATTACAGACGTAAATGTTAGACCTAAAAACATAAAAACCCTAGAAGAAAACCTAGGTAATACCATTCAGGACATAGACATGGGCAAGGACTTCATGTCTAAAACACCAAAAGCAACGGCAACAAAAGCCTAAATTGACATATGGGATTTAATTAAACTAAAGAGCTTCTGCACAGCAAAAGAAACTACCATCAGAGTGAACAGGCAACCTACAGAATGGGAGAAAATTTTTGCAATCTACTCATCCGACAAAGGGCTAATATGCAGAACCTACAAAGAACTCAAAAATTTACGAGAAGAAAGCAAATAACCCCATCAAAAAGTGGGCAAAGGATATGAACAGACACTTCTCAAAAGAAGACATGCATACAGCCAACAGGCACATGAAAAAATGCTCATCATCCGTGGCCATCAGAGAAATGCAAATCAAAACCACAGTGAGATACCATCCACACCAGTTAGAATGGCAATCATTAAAAAGTCAGGAAACAACAGGTGCTGGAGAGGATGTGGAGAAATAGGAACACTTTTACACTGTTGGTGGGACTGTAAACTGGTTCAACCATTGTGGAAAACAGTATGGCGATTCCTCAAGGATCTAGAACTAGAAATACCATATGACCCAGCCATCCCATTACTGGGTAAATACCCAAAGGATTATAAATCATGCTGCTATAAAGACACATTCACACATAAGTTTATTGCGGCACTATTCACAATAGTAAAGACTTGGAATCTACCCAAATGTCCATCAGTGACAGACTGGACTAAGAAAATGTGGCACATATACACCATGGAATACTATGCAGCCATAAAAAAGGATGAATTCATGTCCTTTGTAGGGACATGGATGCAGCTGGAAACCATCATTGTCAGCAAACTATCACAAGAACAGAAAACCAAACACCACATGTTCTCACTCATAGGTGGAAATTGAACAATGAGATCACTTGGACTCTGGAAGGGGAACATCACACACCGGGGTCTATTATGGGAAGGGAGGAGGGATGGCATTGGGAGTTATAACTGATGTAAATGACAAGTTCATGGGTGCTGACGAGTTGATGGGTGCAGCCCACCAACATGGCACAAGTATACATATGTAACAAACATGCACGTTGTGCACATGTACCCTAGAATTTAAAGCATAATTTTAAAAAAGAAGAAGAAAGAAAGAAAAAGAAGAAAGAAAGTAAAATGTTGGTCAGGTCTTTCAACACAGATCAAAATAAAAGGAGATTAGGGCCATGCTATGAGGACATTGAATGGCAGACCACATAATGGGAACATCATCCTACAGATAAGAGGAGTCACTGGAAAGCTTTGAGAAGGTCACAAACATGACAAACAGCATTTCCAGGAAGATTACTCTGACCAGTATTAGGCAAGATAAGTTGGGAAATGATCTTCAACTTTGGAAACTTAATAGAAATATCTAAATGGTCTATGTTTCTTTTCTTTACTTTTCATGTTTAATTTTGAAATAATTTCAGACTTTCAAAAATGTTCCAAAATTAGGCAAAGTCCTCATATGCTTTTCATTCAACTTCCCCAAATATTAACATTAAAGATATGCACCTAATAATCAAAATCAATAAATGATTATTAACGCTATAAAATGAATGCCTGTACAGACCTTATCCAAATCCCCTCTATCTTCTGACTAATGTCCTTTTTCTGAACCAGGATTCAATCTAGTATCACGTATTGCTCTTCATTGTACTGTTCTCTCATCTCCTTTAATCTGGGAAAGTTAGGATTTACCTTTAAGAGTTTCACATATTTGAAGAGTATTGGTTACTTATTTTGTAGAATGACCCTCAGTTTGGACTTTTCTAATATTTTCTCATGATTAACCTCAGATTATACACTTTGTACAAGAATACCACAAGGATGGTGCTGCACCTTCTCCATCCATTATATTAGAATGGCCTAAGATGTTGTTATCTCTGATTACTGGGGATGTTAACATTGATCACTGGGCTAAAGTTCCTCCACTGCAAAATAACCCTTTTCCTTGAAAGCATTTGACTGATGTATGGGCCATACCATACATCAGTCAAATCAGATATACTTGAGGGATGGTACAGGCATTGGTAGGCTTTAAATGCCCTAAAAGTAACTCTAATCAGTATCCAGAATTGCAAAACTATGGCTTAGACAGTGAAGATTAGAATCCTGAAAATCAGCTAGGAGACCATTCCTAAGGCTTCTCTTTAAAATAAAATAAAAAAAAAAATCTAATTCTAAACAAAAGCAAATACATCTAGATTTTGGCATGGACATATGGTAGAGAAATAGAGGAAAAATAGAAATCACCTGATGGGGAAAGAGATGAGTGAGTAGACTGCAGTCCAATTAAACAAACAAACAAACAAAAAAGGCAGAATCAGGTGTGATGACACTTGCTTGTAATTCCAGCATTTAGGGATTGAAAGTGGACAGATCACTTGAGCCCAAAAGTTTCAGACCAGCCTGGGATTTCACCAGCCTGGGTGAAATCCCATCGCTACAGAAAGAAACACAAAAACTTAGCTAGGCATGGTAGCACGTGCCTGTGATTCCAGCTACTCAGGAGGCTGAAGCAGGAGGATCGCTTGAGCTACAAGGTTGAGGCTGCAGTCAATTATGATCTTGCCACTGTACTTCAGCCTGGGTATGAGAGTGAGACACTCTTTTTAAATTTAAAAAAAAAAAAAAAAAGTAAAAGTAATGTTCTAACGTCAGATCTAGTACAAAAACTGCATATCATTCTGTGATGTTTAGATGCTATAATTAAAATACAATATGGAGGTGTTTCCATATGAATAGCTGAAAGATTCTATACTTTTTATGTAGCTGCATCATATTCTATTGTGTAGATATAAGGTAACCTCTTTAAATAGCATTGTGCTGGTGAAAGTCTAGGTTATTCCCCATATTTTGCTGTTAAACAAACAATACAGTGAATAACCCTGATTAGGTGTCATTTTTTATGACTGGGACTGTAATAAATTTTTCCCAGTAAAGTTTGGGAGGCAAAAAAATGTATTTTTTAAATTTTCACATGCATTAAGAAATTTTACTCTACAAGGTTTGTACATATTTTTATGTTCCAAAAAAAGTAGGGGAGGGTAATATCACCTCAGTTGCTCTCACACAAAGGTCCTGAGTGACAGGACCTTTAGGGACACAGGCACAGGGCCATATCTCTGGTGCCCACACAGGGCAGGGGCATCTGGATCCTGGGAAGCTCCTGGAAAGATGAGGGTGCCCTCTAGAGGACACGCTGCTAAGGATCAGAAAGGGGCCAAGGAAATCAAGAGATTACAGCAGGTCTTAAACTAAGGGCAAGTTCAAGAGGAGGGCATTAAGGTTCCAGGAGCAAGCTGAGGTGAGAAAGTGGTAGAGACTGATTAAAGGAGAAAGTAAAAACCTCCAGGGAAGCTAGGGGAGGCATATCAGGGCTCTCCACTCCTCCTCAGCATTGAACTTTGTAGTGGTCATGCTGGTGGGGCTCTGTGAGCTCTAGAATGTTCAGCACTCTCTGGGGACTCTACTCACTCAAGGCCAGAAGGACTCCCTCCAGCTCTGACAACCAGCAATGTCTCCAGACTTTGCCAAATGCTTTTCCCAATGAAAAAATTGCCCCTGGCAGAAGCATTAATCTTCACTAATCTATAAAAGCAAATCACCACTAAAATCCATCACCTCTTGGTAGAAGAATTACAAGTGTGAGAGGGGTAAAATGGAGGTCTTCAATATCTACTGAAATGACTTTCACTTATTCAGAAATTTGATGTCCCAGAAGGCATGTTTAGAGGTGATGCCGCATGGCTGCCTGTACCTCACAGCAGAAAGGGTATGGGTTTTCCAAGGGTCTGTAACCGTGAACCGGAAAGGTCTGTAACTACGAAAGGGAATGACACCCACTGGGTTACATTAAAAAGTAGGATGTAGGGAATTCTGTAGATATTGGGAGGAAAAAATACACAACATAAACCCAAACCCCATTCTGATTCTCTCACTATCTTAGGGCTATCTTGGCTATCTATGAATGGTAGCATAGGGATTTTTGTATATTTTCAAAATTGTATACTGTTGGACCATTTTTAAAATAGGAATAAATCCCAAACTGGACCAAGTAACTGGACACTGCTGGAGTCTCACTTTTGGCCAGGAGAGCTGACATCCTGCTCCCCCTGGCCTGGACACTGTCTGACTCAGGGACTTAAATGCTCTCTTATTATGGAGAAAGAGGATGTTTTGAATATTCTCACCATTCACACATTCACCTCTCACACCTGTCGACCTCTCAAACCTCTTGCCCACTCTTGGATTTCATTCTAAATTTACTGAGCTCTATTCATGTCCCTTGTGCATTCCAATATGTGGTGGGTCCAGCTGGTGGCTTCTGCCCACGATTTTGTAAAAAAAAAAAAAAAAAAAAGACTCTCGAAATGACTTTCCCTGATACCTCCTTGAACTGACCTCCACCTGCAGCCCCATGATCATACCAGCAGCATTTGGACACTTTTTCTGGTAATCAGATGCTTTCCATCTCTCATTAGGAAATGTGACTCTCTCCACCCTGCATAAAGATTTCCCAGTAGAAGTGAACACAGAGATACTGCCTGTGTGTTCCCAAAGAAAACGATTTCTCTAAGAACATGTGAAAGCTGCAATTATAGAAAAGACCACCTAAAACATACTTTACATAGATGATTCTCACCATTCCTTTAAGAGATACATTGTAAAACATGACATTAATAATTATTTGAGAAGAATAAAGCAAGCATACTGTTTTCTTAAATTAATTTTAATAAGGTGGTTCCTCCCATGTGCCCAGGCTGGGCCTCTGAACAAAATTCTCCATCTTCAGTGGCAATGCCTGAGAGGATGACATGGACTTAGGCCTGATATGCAGCCATTCCTGTCTACCCTGACCCTGATGCAGGACAGTATCAGTTCAGGGCCCACATCTCCTGCTGAAGAGCTGAGAGAGAAAATGGAATATCCAAAGCCTCTTACCTTTTTCCAGTCCACTGCAATGGGTAACAGTGTAGTCCATTTGCCCCTGAGGACACTCACCTGCTGGTCTTTGGCTTCTAAGAGTCAGACCTCATTGGCTTCTCTGTGTCCTGGCTGCTTTCACTCTGCTGAGCCCTGCTCTTTCCCATGGGGGTCACTCTCCTGTCAGGCATGTCCTCCAGCTCCAGCTGATAGGTCAGCCAACCCAGAACCAAGAGAAGGAACAAAGATTTCAATATCTAGTATGTCCAGCAGAGATGTAACCTGTACAAAAAAATAAAGAAGTAGAGATGCACACAACTCCCTTGACAACATTTTGTCCCAAAGCAATGTCTTCTGTGCCCCTCATTAAGAAGCTCACTGTCCCTCACCACATGGGCAAGTGCTTCCAGGGTCTCTCAATTCCTAACGGGAGGCAACACACATTTTAACACAGTATCTCAGCAATGGAAGTGGTGATAATTTACCTACTTTGATAAAGTTCCTGAAAATCTCTAGACTACAAAATTTTCCTCCGAAAGAAGACAGAAAACGCTTTCCCAATTGCAAAACATTGGCCTCCTTGCTTTTCAAAAAAGTACCCTTGAAAGAGTCAAAGCAATTTTGCCAAAATAAATTGCAGAAATTGAACTTTCTTTTTTGAAATCTCACAAAACATTACAACTATTAAAAACAGAAGCTGCTGGCATAAGAATACAAATAGAAACCAAAGGGATAGAATTGAGAGTCCAGAAATAAACCCTCACCCTTATAGTTCATTGCTCTTGCATAAGGGTGTTAAGATAATTTAATGGAGGAACAATCCTCCTCTCAAATATCGGTGCAGAAAAACTAGATAACCATATGCAAAACAATAAACTTACAGAACTATACTTCCAACCATATCAAGCAATTATCTAAAAATGGATCAGTGAGTTAATTATAAGTTCTATAACCATAAAAACATCTTAGAAAAAGATATAGGGGTAAAACTTAATGACCTCAAATGTGCCATGGATTCTCAGGTATGACTCAAATGCATGAGAAACAAAAAGGAAAAATAGATAAATTGGGCTAAAGATGTAAGCCTTTTATGCATCAAAAGTATTATCAAGAAAATAAAAAGAGCAAACACAGAATGGGACATAATAGTTGCAAATCACTCAGACAATGGTTTCATGCCCAGAATATATAAAGAACGGCTACAACTCAATAACACAAAGACAAACCCCCCAATTTATATAAATGGGCAAAGGACTCAAATAGACATTTCTACAAAGAAGATATGCAAATCATCAAGAGGGACATGAAAAGAAACTCAACATCACTAGTTATTAGGAAAATACAAATTCAATGTCACAATGAGATACCACACTACACCTACAAATATGGCTACCATTATTTTAAAATGTTAAATAACAAGTGAAAGCATTATGTAGAATTTGGAATCCTCATACATTGCTGGTGAGGTTATAAGAAGGTACAGCCACCAGGAGAAACAGTTGTGCTGTTCCTCAAGAAGCTAATCATAGAATTCTCATGTGAAACAGCATCCATTCCTGGATATGTACCCAAAGACTCAAACAGGTACTTACATAGGAATGCTGATTGCAGCATTACTCACAAAAGATAAAATATGAAAACAATCCAAGTGTTCATCAACACATGAATAAACAGATGTGGTCACACATACAACTGAATGTTAATCTGCCATAAAGAGGAATGAAGCTCTGACATCCGCTGGAACATGCATGGACTTTGGAAATCTTATGCTAAGTGAAATATGTCAGAAACAAAATAACATATATGTATAATTCCATTTATATGAAACATCAAGAATAGGCAAATTCATAGAGACAGAGTAGAGGTGATCAAGGTCTAGGGTGGAAAATACAGGGAGTTATTATTTTTTTAAAAGATACAAAGTTTCAGTTTAAAATGATAACAATTTTCTAGGAAAAATAGTGGTGATGGTAACTGAACACTCTGCATGTAGTTAATTCCACTTGAGTGCACATTTTAAAGTGATTAAAATAGCAAATTATTCACAGAACTGTGAAAAATCAATTTCTATTATTTAATTCACCCAGGCTAAGGTGTTTGTTATGGCAGCTGAAGCCCATGAATACATCATCTGACCCAGTGTTTTCCATGAATCGTATCAGTTTTTCAATCAAGTTAACTGGAAGCTGTGGGGAAAAGAAAGATCAGACTGTTACTGTGTCTATATAGAAAGAAGTAGACATAAGAGACTCCACTTTGTTCTGTATTTGAGATGCTGTTAATCTGTGACCCTATCTCCAACCTTGTCCTTGCAAGAGACATGTGCTATGGTGACTCAAGGTTTAAGGGATTTGGGGCTATGCAGGATGTGCTTTGTTAAACAAGTGCCTGAAGGCAGTATGCTGGTTAAAAGTCATCAGCATTCTCTTAATCTCAAGTACCCAGGGACACGTACACTGCCAAAGGTTGCAGGAACCTCTGCCTAGGAAAGCTAGATATTGTCCAAGGTTTCTCCCCATGTGATAGTCTGAAATATGGCTTCGTGGGAAGAGAAAGACCTGATCGTCACCCAGCCTGACCCGTGAAGGGTCTGAGCTGAGGAAGACTAGTGTTAAGAGGGAAGAAGGCCTCTTGGCGGTTGTTGGCGCTTGAGATAGAGAAAAGCATCTGTCTCCTGCCCATCCCTGGGCAATGGAACATCTCGGTGTAAAACCCGATTGTATGTTCTGTTTACTGAGAAAGGAGAAAACGGCCTTAGGGCAAAAGGGGGGCCTTGCTAGCGCAATGCTGCTCTTTATGCACTAAAAAGGTTTATGGAGATGTTTACATATGCATATCAAGGCACAGAACTTTTCCTTAAACTTATGTCACAGAGATCTTTATTCACACGTCTTACTGCTGACCCTCTCCCTACAATAATCCTATTATCCTGCTACATCCCTTTCTCTAAGATGGTAAAGATAATAATCAATAAATACTAAGGGAACTCAGAGACCAGTGCCACCGCGGGTCCTCTGTATGCTGAGTGCCAGTCCCCTGGGCCCACTTTTTCTTTCGCTATACTTCATCTCTGTGTCTCATTTCTTTTCTCAAGTCTCTCGTTCCACCTAACGAGAAACGCCCACAGGTGTGGAGGGGCAGGCCACCCCTTCAAAAGCTCCTGTGCCCAGCAGAACCAGAGGTCCCAAAACAAGAGCTCCAGCAGGGGCTCAACCAGCACAGGTCCCATAGGGCAGCCTCGATGTCAGGCTATGGATGGCATGTGAGGCTACAGTGATACAACCACAACATGAAACTGTAAGTCCCTGCTCCCCTTCCATTGATCCTCCTGCCCTGCTGCTCCCTCTTCTGCTCCAAAGCCCATGTGCAGTGCTCAGCCCCAGACATCACTACCACCAGGGCATACACAGTGCCGCCTAGAAACACAAACTCACAGAAGGTGACGAAAATCTGCCTTTGGGACATCCCATTGTGAAAGCGGGAGAACAGTGAACGTAGAGTCACAGAGACTGGGACTCACGGGGCTGGAAGGTGATGGAGCTGTAAAATAACATATGGGTGACCTCATGTGAAATGTGCAGATCCTTGTGGAATAAAACACGCAGCCTGGCCTGGGACTTCGGCCACCCACACTTCCCTTCCAGTCCACCAGAGGGCGGCAGAGTCCCTCCCAGCCTGGAGCCTTCCCAGGGGATGCCGACCTCCCTCAGCAGAACCCAAAGCGGAGAAGGGTCCACCCTCACCAGGGTCACCTAGGCCCAAGTCCTCAGGGCCCTCCATGCTCCCAACACGGACTCTGTCAGCTCCTCCCTGACCTGGTGGCCGCCAACCTAACACCACTCCCTCTGCAGGCAGCTCCTGCCCCACACACCTGCTCCTTCCCTGGGATCAGCTAAAAAGACATCTCCCATTGCAGCGCTGGTGCACACGACGCCACACTGGGCGCTTTCCCCTCGTGACCTCCCTCCATCCTCATCAACTCTTTCTGTCACTGCTCCCTAAACGCCCGCCCGTGCTCCAACTGTCCTGTTCTCTGGGGCATCCCAGGCCAACCCTAGCGCTGATACAGAACAGCGGCTGCCTGAGGACCCACAGCCTCCCTGGGAATCAGTCAGGCACCCTGTGACCTGTCTGCCCGCTGCACCCCGTGGGGCGCAGAGCGCGTGTGATGGTCACGCACAGGCACCATCCAGGATGTGGCCTCCTACCCCCGGCTGTCCCTTGGGAAGACAGACCTCTCCTGTGTCCCTGCTGGGAGAAGGAGGTATTATTGCTCTTTGCTCCCAGTACACAACTCACACCCAGCCACCCTCTCAGGGGTGAGCAATGTCCCTCCAAACAGGATCTCTGGCGACTGCCTGTTCCTTCTTTACAGAGAGCAGCTTGGCTATGTCAAAACCCTCAGGACAGACCCCTGGGTATGTCAGCACATGGAGGGCTGAGCCCATCATGACCACGGAGTAAGTTGGGATGATCTCTCCAGCTCTGAACCCCTGTTCTGTCCCAGGCTCCCCTTCCTGCGTCTCAACGAGCCATGTTCCACGGGGTTCCTGGGTAACTCCCCACTTCCTCCTGCACCACCATGGGGAAGGTGTGGTAATTACAGGACACTCAGATGGGCAGAGACGAGAGGACACCAAAAATGGTCAGGAAGAAATGAGAAACCCTGAGCCCCAGCTCAGCCACCAGTCTCCAGGGAGCAATAGAGTGACTAAGAACTGTCCTTTGACCATGGAACTCACAGCCCCCACTGAGCAACCAGCACAGGCCTCTCCTCCCAAGAGACATGAGAGATTCACCCTGCACGCCTCCAGGAAGGACACTTTCCTCTGGGACACCCAGGTCCTGAATGTTCATCCTTGGCAGCTGCAGCCAAGCTAGACACAATTAGAGAAAGGAAGGGTTCCTGTCATCAGCCAACACACAACTCACCCACAGCACAATGGGGTGTCCCTGTGACAGGGACCTGGTGCAGCTCCAGCCTCCTGCACTGAAGGGGAGAGCCAGATGGGGAGGAAAGAAGGCAAAGGGCGTGAATGTGCACCCAAGCCAGACCCATGGGGACAGCTGGAGGCTGAGGCCCAGGACTGTGCTTGCCCAACCTACAGGGTATGTGTGTGACTGTGTGTCTCTTTTGTGTGTGTGTGTGTGTTTCTGCACACAGTGTGTGTTGAGGTTTGGTGACAGAATCACTGCTGAAACAGACAGAGGCCTCCACAATTCCCAGGGACCTGACACACAGACAAAAGGAAAAAGAGAAGGAGGGACAAGGAGGCAGGACTGAGAGGGGAAGGGAAAGAGAAGTGTCCTGGGCACAGACCCCGCCCATGAGCCTGAGAAGTGCTCCTGCCCCGGGAAGAGGCTCAGCACAGAAGGAGGAAGGACAGCACAGCTGACAGCCGTGCTCAGAAAGTTTCTGGATCTCAGGCTCATCTCCAGAGAGAACACGCAGGCGGCACAAGCCATGGGGCCCCTCTCAGCCCCTCGCTGCACACTGCACATCACCTGGAAGGAGCTCCTGCTCACAGGTGAGGAGAGAACTTCCTGGGAGAGGACAGGAGGAGGAAGCAGAATGATTGGATGGGGTTTCCTGGAGAGGATGGGGTTCTAAGAAATAAAAGAAGCCAGCACTTTGGGAGGCTGAGGTGGGCGGATCATGACGTCAGTTCAAGACCAGTCTGGTCAACACAGTGAAGCCCTGTCTCTATGAAAAATACAAAAAATTAACCAGCTGTGGTGGTGTACTCCTGTAATCCTAGCTACTCGGAAGGCTTAGGCAAGAGATTTGCATGAACCTGGGAGGCAGAGGTTGCAGTGAGCCAAGATCTCGATACTTCATGCCAGCCTGGGTGACAGTACAAGATTCCATCTCAAAAAAAAAAAAAAAAAAGAAGAAAGAAAAAACAAAAAACAGAAAAGAAGGCTCTGTTGGAGCCTGGATAGGGGAAAATACACCAGAGAGGGACATGGGTCAAAACAGGAAAATCACATTGAACCGGAATTGGTAAGAGGTAGGAAAATCTCAAGTGTTCTGTTTTCCTGGTTAATCATCACTGGACACCACATTTTGAAAAATGACAATAATAACTATTATCAGATGACACTTCAAATGAAAATATAAGCGGGGCATGAAACACTGTCCTCAGCAAAAAACCTCAACAATTGGGGAAAGAATAAAAGAAACAACCCAGGCATGGAGGGCCCTGGGAACCTTCACATCTACAGAAGTCTGCAGCCTGTCTCAGACACTGGGGTACAACCAAGATCACAAAAGTCCCTGTCCTCATGGAGCTCACTCTGTCATGGGAAGGAAGACAGACATGCAAAGAGATCTAGAATGTGAGGTCAAGTGTTGACAAGAGCTCCAGAGGGAGCAGAGCAGGGAAAGGTCAGAAAGGGAAGACCCAGGGTCTCTAAAGGAGGTGTCAGGAAAGAAGTCTAAGGATGCCCTGATGTGAGCAGGACCTGAGGGTGGTGTGCAGGGAGCCGTGAAGATCCCTGGGGAAGAGGATTCCAAACAGAAAACTGCCAAGGTCAGAAGGGTTGAAGGAACGGGGATCATGCTGCTGACCTTCACCCAGTAGGACAGTAGGACACACACACACAAACACACACAAACACACACACAAAAGGGGTGTATGTGTGTGTCCTACTGTCCTACTGGGGTGTGTGTGTGTGTTTGTATGTGTGTGTGTGTATCTTCAAGGCTGATGATTGAAGAGATCTTCTCAGGACCCAGGGCCCAATGTTTTCACCCCCATACATAGGTCTCAATATTGACTGATGCTCTCTCCACCTCCTAGCATCACTTTTAATCTTCTGGAACCCGCCCACCACTGCTCAAGTCACAATTGAAGCCCAGCCAACCAAAGTTTCCGAGGGGAAAGATGTTCTTCTACTTGTCCACAATTTGCCCCAGAATCTTACTGGCTACATCTGGTACAAAGGGCAAAAAACGGACCTCCACCTTTACGTTACATCATATGTAAAAGATACTGAAACAGTTATAGCTGGGCCTGCATACAGTGGACGAGAAACAGTATATTCCAATGCATCCCTACTGATCCAGAATGTCACCCAGAAGGACACAGGATCCTATACCATACAAATCACAAAGCGAGGTGATAGGACTGAAGGAGAAACTGCACATTTCACCTTATATCGTGAGTGATTCCACATGATCCCTGGGTGTTGGGGGGTGGGGGTCACTTCTACTTTGCACACACAGGATTGTCAGGCCTGGACTGTGCCTTTGTCCCTCTCTGCATTATGTCCCATGTTGGGGTTTTGGTATTTAGTGCAGGACACACACAGAGGAGACAAACTTCAACAGATCAGAATTCCTTTCCTGCCTCCAGACCCTGCAGACACTTGTTGCACAAGAAGGACAGTCTGATGGGGTGGGGGGTGCTCAGCACGAGGAGATCAGCCTCAGCCAAGCACCTCATGCCCTCTTCATAAACCTTACCCTGAGAAACACCCTGGAGAACTGAGTAGGGCTTTGCCTAAGGGGCAAAGATACTCTCAAAGAAGCTCAGCTCTAGAAGCTTCAACCCCAGACCCCTGTCCCTTAATCCTTACTCCAGATAAAGCTGAGGAGCCTGTGCCAGGGCTCGGTTGTGGCAGGGCTTACTGGGACCAAGGATTCACCAGCTGTCTGAGGACTGTGTCTCCTGGAGCTGCTCACTGCCAGGGCTCAGCTCTCAGAGGCTCATCTAGGCAAGGACAGAGCTTTCTTCACCTGACACTCAGAGTGAAGAGGACAGAAAGACAAGCTTTGTAGGCCATCAGCCAACTGTCTTGCAAGGCTTAGGACACTCCAGAGAAACTCTAATGTCCCCGGAAGCAGAAACAGAAGAGAGAAAATGTACCTGGCAGCAGCTTGTCCACAGGGATCTGACCTAAAGGTGCTCCCTCATGGAAGTGAATAATAATAAATGCTGTTTGTGTGAACACCCCCACTGTGCCAAGCATTAGGTCAGGTGACTGAAGAATTTACAATTTATTCACAGATAGCATGAAAAGCCACAGTCCATTTGCCATTTAGCTTATTTGACTGAGAGAAAACTGAGGCACAGGAAGGCACCGTCACTGAACCAGAGTCACACAAACACAAAAGGCAGATCAGGGTCACATGAGGTCGTCTGCAGCCACAGGCCCATCCTCTCCTCCACCAGAAGTGAGGGCTTATTGGGTTCCAAGGACCCCATAGTCAATTATTGTCTCAAATCGTCTCTTCTTAGGCATTCAAACCTCAGAGGAGTGAGAGCAAATGGTCAGCTGATTAGTCTGTTCTCCAGAATTAAATCACCTGTCTCAACTGTCAGAGTCAGTGCAAAAAATGTCCAGGCCTCCCCCTCAGATCTTCAGCCCTATCACTGAACCTGAAATCCTGTTTCCCAAAGTGTCCATGTCACTGGCATGACAGGATAAAGGAGAGAATCTTTTTTTCTTTCCCCACTCACACCCCGCACCAGCACAGGCCCAGTGAGAGACACACACTCAGGAGCTCTCGCATAACAAATGAAGGAATTGAATGAAGAAATGAATGGTCCATAACTGCTTTACAGAGTGGACCTCAGATGCAGCACCCTAGGAGGTCTAGCCACACCTGTTTCTTGTCCTTCAGAGGCTGACACCCATGTTTCATCCCCCCACTACCTCTTGCTCCTAAAGACACCACATCTCATGTAACTCTGAAGCTCTTTGGGCACGGGAGGGTTTTCAGGGCTCCCTGGTCCTGGACTGTGGAAATGGGGGCACCTGGCCCCTGGGGTCTCTGAAGTCACTGTAGCCCCCATTGTTCACTGCCAGGCTGTCTCTGCCTCTCTCTGCTTCTCTGTGTCCCTCATCTTCCTCCCACTTCATTCTAACTGGCAAGCCCTGTCCTGCACAGCTTCTTCCTCCACCCCTAGGCCTTCCCCAGACACTCCCTCTAACTAGGCTGACTGTTCTATTATTACTCAAATCAGCCTCCCTAGTGGATCAGGGGTTAGAGATTTTCAAGGATAGTTTCAGGGGCACAGGACTAAAAAAAGGGTACTGCTGATTGTTTGGGGGATGGAATCATGGGGGTGGAGGGAAATGATCTGTTTGTGCTTGAATCCACCTCTAGGTGGGGACCACGGGACTGGCTGAACCATTAGTCATGGGTATGAATGAGGTCAGCCGTTGCCAGAATGCAAAGAATGAGAAACATCTCAAAAGACCAATCTCAGGTTCTACAATAGTGATGTTATCTATAGGAGCAATTAGTTACAAGTTTTGTAAACTCTGACCAAATGACATTTGAGAAGTAAGGGATTATAGAAACTATGCCTACATTTTAGCAGAATTCAGTTTCCTCCTGTAATCTTACTCTCATGGTCTTTCACCAGTTTTACAAAGGCAATCCCTGGGCAAAAGAAGGGTATTAGTGTTATGGAGGAACTATTATCATTCTTGCTTCAAAGTTAAACCATAAACTACATTCCACCCATGATTAGCCTGGCCTATGTCCAGGAATGAGTGAGGACAGCCAGCCTGAGACTAGATGCCAGATGGAGTCAGCCATGCTAGTTTGCTGTCACTGTTGTAATCTTTGCACTGACTCACCAGGGTGTCAGAGGCTGGACAGGTCTGCAGTCTCCAAAGCCCATGGACTGATTTCACCCATTTCACTAGTGACTCCATCCTCAACCTACTGTGGAGCTCACATTCTCCAGTCACTTCCTAGAGACTTCTGGTTTCCTGTCAGGCATATAACAAACTTGAAATTTGTCACTCGGTTCTAACAGTAAGTAAAAAGCTGAACAAACTCAAAAGTCAACAACTCATTAAAATCGCTCAGAGATGGCCAGTCACAGTGGCTCACGCCTGTAATCCCTGCACTTTGGAAGGCTGAGGTGGGTGGATCACGAGGTCAGGAGATTGAGACCATCCTGGCTAACATGTTGAAACCCCGTCTCTACTAAAAATACAAACAAATTAGCCAGGTGTGGTGACGGGCACCTGTAGTCCCAGCTACTCGGGAGACTGAGGAAGGAGAATGGCGTGAACTCAGGAGGCAGAGCTTGCTTGAGCCACGGTCGTGCCACTGCACTCCAGCCGGAGCAACAGAACAAGACTCCGTCTCAGATAAAAAAAAAAAAGGAAAAAAGGGGCTGTTAGAGAAATGTAGAATGCTTTAGATGATTACTGGTGGATTGCACACAGCTGAGGAAAAAATCTTTTAGCTTGAGGATGTGTCAATAGAAACTTCCAAAAATGAAACAGGAAACTTCAAAAAAGAGGGGGAAAGAAAGTGGAACAATATATTCAACTTCATATTTAATACTTCCTATTGACAATAGCAATTTTTAAATGTTGTAGTTGTGGGACAACTACCAAGGCTGTAACATACACGTAATGGGAATACTGGTGGTTTCGGGGACCTGTTGAAGTTGGCCAGGTGTGTGCTATCTGATGATTTTACTGCCTGTGCCACATACGATTGTTTCCTCATGATGATGCCATTTTCACAAGTTGGGATTCTTCGTGTGGGCGACACATGAGCCGTTGGCATCTCACTTAGACTCTTCCTAATTCACACAAACTTAACCTCCAGTTGTATTTCCTGAGTTAAGAGAAAATGAAGAAATAATTTCACATATCTGTTTTGGGCTCCTCCCCATTTTTCCAAACTGCACAGAAATTAGAAACAGGGAGCTCTTTTTATATTTACTAACATAACACACATCCCTTCTTTTAATTCGGCATCATTCCTCCCTTTATGTAATAGACACACTGGCCAGTTCTGTCCTTTTAACGGGACTCCCTCTACTTAAGGACTTGCTAATTTCAAATCACCTTTGGCATCTTTTTTGAGCATAATGTGATCCTGCTGGAATTCACCCCACACCTAAACCTTAATTGGGTATCAAGAGAAATACTACTACCAGCAATTGATCTTAGATATTTGGACCATCAGTAAAAATTTCCACTTATGACAACATTTTAATGTTTCCTCCAAACTTTTTAATGTTTTGTTACTAGAGTCAGAACATAACATGAGGTCTAAACTCCTGACATTTTATGGGAAAATTACAGTATCACAAATTGAGCGTCCCAAATGCAGAAATCCAAATCTGAAATGCTTCAAAATCCAACACTTCTGACCACTGATGTGGTGCTAAAAAGAAGTGCACACTGGAGCATTTTGGATTTTAAATTTTTCAGATTTGGGATGCTAAACCATTACATCTACTGCAAATATTCCAAAATAAAAAGAAAGTTAGAAATCCAAAACACTTGGTTTTAAGCTTTCTGCATAAGGAACACTTTATCTGCATGAACTATAGGCATGAAGCTGTACAGGAGATCTCTAGAACCTCCTCATCCTGCATAACTGAAACTGCACACCCACAGAACAATGCCCTAGTCCCCCAACCCCAGCTCCTGGAAACTACTATTCTACTCTCTTACTCACTCTGGAATCCACTGCTATTTGGTACATAGAGTAGTCAAACTCATATAATCAGAGAGTAGAATGTCTAATGAGAGAAAGTACCTGCAAGACTTCTTCCCAAATATTGGTCTAATAGTCACCAAACACAAATGGTCCATGAGGGCCAGACTTCCATCATCAGTTCATGTTCGCCCTCTCCATCAGTCAGTTCTGCATTTGCAAACATCCACATGTATTTCTAGAAAGATCCACATGGTCCTCACCTGCCCTCTACAGGGGGAAGGGAACATCATGGACCCAGAACAGGGAACATGGTCTTGGTCCAAAGTTATCAGCTCTTGCCTGTCCCCTTCACTCTTTGTAGGTCATTCCTTGGACTCTGCTCTATCTTTAGAGGTCACTGGCTAAAGTCAGTCACTATGAGACAGCTGGGAAAACTGCCCCACCTTGTGGCTCCACTACCTGATGACTGAACTGACCTCCAAGCTTGACTCTGGTCTCCCCAGTGTTATTTCTACTGAAGTACGCAGTCCCAGGCCAGGCTTCACAGTACTCAAAGGGCTTAAGGACAATGGGAAGTTCCATCATCTATATCTAGGATGTCCTTGGAAAGGGAAGCTGCAGAGAAAACATACCTTGGGGGGCAAAGTAAGACTGAAACTAAGACGATTCCAGCACCACATGCTCCAGGTGAGGACCACAGGGTGGCCAGGCAGGCAGTTGGAGAGGGAGGGACTCAGAGTCACCAGGGGCTGTGACTGCTGGTCCTGTGTCTTGCCATGACCCAATGCTGCTGCTCAATACACACTTGAGAAAGTCTGTGCTTCTCACACATAAAGCAGGCAGCCTCACAATCTCTGAGCCCTCAGATTGCCATGCATCTGTCATGTAACACACACACACACCTGCCATGGGCTTTTAAGGAGTGGGGTGCGCTGAGAGGTGGGAAATGCCATCTCCGATTTAAAAATGTCTTTGGAGGAATCAAAGGTGCCATACAGGGCAATCTTCTCTCTGTTATCTGCATAGTGGAGACTCCCAAGCCCTACATCTCCAGCAGCAACTTAAGCCCCAGGGAGGCCGTGGAGACTGTCATCTTATCCTGTGATCCTCACACTCGGGATGTAAGCTACCTGTGGTGGATAAGTGGTCAGAGCCTCCCTATCAGTCACAAGTTGAAGCTGTCCAAAAACAACAGGACCCTCATTATATCTGGTGTTACAAACGATACTGCAGGACCCTATGAATGTGAAATGAAGAACCCAGTGAGTTCCAGCCGCAGTGACCCAGTCACCCTGAATCTCCTCCGTGAGTATTTTCTGTTCCTCTGTGTGTCAGGTTGCCATCCCAAATACACATGGCCAGAGGCCAGGCCCCTCAGTCCCTCTCAGGTGCAAGTACGGAGACCTTTACCCCTGGACATCAAAGCTGGCCATGACTACTAAGAGTAGGCTTAGGCTTGATCAACAATGGGAGAGAAGAGGCTGCTCCTGTCATGGGAGACTCAGGGTCCACAGCTTATGATGGGAGAAACAGGGGAATGTCTCAGGATACAGATCAGTGAACACAGCAGGGATTTGGCTGGGACTTCAGTGTTGTGACTTAGCTCATAGGGTCACTGTGGCCCTTCCATAGACCAAGATTTTCCCTTCCCTCTGACAACATCAGCTGTGCCTTTATTCTCTTTGCTCCAGATGGCCTGGATGCCCCCACCTTTTCTTATTCATACACCTATTACCATACAGGGGAACTCCCCAAGCTCTCCTGTCTCACAGACTCTCTGGCAGAGCATTCTTGGCTAATTGATGGGAAGTTCCAGCAATCAGCACAAGTGTTCTTTATCCCCCAAATCACTAAAACATATACAGGGGTCTATGTCTGTTTCATCCATAACTCAGTCACTGGTGGAACAAATCTCATAATCAAGAAGATCATAGTCCCTGGTAAGTGGATCCCTGGAGCACTGGCAATATGTTTTCCAGTGAAGTCTATCTGGCTATTCTGGCTGTCAGAAAAGAGCCATCTTCCCTCTGCAAAGGGAGAGGGAAAATCAAAAACCCAGGACAGGGAATATGTTTCTGCTCCAAAACCACCGGCTCTTCCTGTCGCTTTGCTCTTTCTAGATCATTCTTTAGACTACATACTAACAATGAACAATGTGAAAGGAAATTAAGAAAAGAATTTCAATTTACGTTAACATCAAAAGGAATAAAATATTTTGGAATAAGTTAAACCCAAAAGTTCAAAGGGTTATACCCTGAAAACTCCAAAACATTACTGAAAGAAAGATGACATCAATATATGGAAATACATTTCATTTTCATGGATTGGAAGAATCAATACTGTTAGGAAGACAATACTACCCAAAGTGATCTGCACATTCAATGCAACCCCTACCAGAATCCCAGTAACATTTTTTGCACAATTGCAAAAATCTGTCCTAAATCTCACAGGACAGGCTCTTATTAATGACTGCCATTACAGAGACACTGAGAAAAAGATGCAACCATGAAAAGGTGGAAAGATTTGATGACGTAGAAAATAGCAATCAGCCTTTCTCACATCCCAAAGCCTTCAAAAATATACTAGTGCAGCATGGCCAGTATGGAATTGACCTAAAACTAATCACCAAGCTAGAAATGTGGTGTGAGAAAAAAAAAGGGCAAGAATATATTTGGCTTATCACCTCCCATTTTTGCATACTAATCTGATGCTGAAAAGAAATGCTCACTGGAGCATTTTAGATTTTGAATCTTTCAGATTTCAGATGCTCAACTAGTAAGTATATGACAAATATTTCAGAATCAAAAAAATCACTTTTTGTCCTAAGTCTTATGCATAAGAAATACTCAATCTGTGTGAACTGTAGGCATCAAACTGTACAGCAGATCTCTAGAACCTCCCCATCTTGCATAACTGAAACTGCATACACATGAACAACTTCTAATTCTCCCCACTCCCAGTTTCTGAAAACCAGCAGTCTCTTCTCAAATTCACTCTGGAATCCACTTCCATGAAGTCCCTAGAGTAGTCAAACTCATGGAATCAGAGAGTAGAGTGTCCAATGGAAGAAAATATTTGCAAAACTTCTCCCCAAATTTGTCTCATATCCATCAAACACACATGGTCCATGAGGACCAGATTTCCAGAAGTTATTGCCACCCTTTCCGCCAGTCAGTTCTGCATTTGCAAATATCCACATGTATTTCTGGAAAGATCCACATAGTCCTCACCTGTCCTCTGCAGAAGGAGGGGAAACTTAAAGAACCCAGAACAGGGAACATGGTTCTACTCCAAAGCCACCAGCTCTTGCCTGTCTACTTCACTCTTTCTAGATCATTCCTTGCACTCTGCTCTATCTTTGGAGGTCACTGGCTCAAGTAAGTCATCATGAAACACCTGTAGAAAACTGCCCCACCTTGTGCCTCCACTGCCTGATGACTGAACTGACCTCCAGGCTTGACTCTGGTCTCCCCTGTCTTATTTCTGCTGAAACATCCAGTCCCAGGCCAGGCTGCTCAGTATCTTCAGGGTTTCAGGACAATGGGAAGTCCCATTATTACTCATCTCTAGAATGTCCTTGGAAATGGAAGCTGCAGAGAAATCACATCTAGCGGGGCAAAGTAGGATGGAATTTGGAAGAGATCCAGCAGTTACACATTCCAGGTAAGGAACCCAAGGTGAGCCAGCGAGTCAGTTGATTAGAGAGGGACTGGGAGGGGTACCAGGGGCTGTGACTCCCACTGACGTGTCTGTCCATGACCCAACACTACTGCTCAATTCACACTTGAGAAAGTCTGTGATTCCCTAAGACAGAGCAGGCGGCCTCACAGTCTTTGAGCCCTTAGGTCATCATGCATCTGTCTCGTGACACACGCGCCAGCTGTTGACTTTCAAGGACTCAGGAGGGCTGAGAGGTGGGAGATGCCAACTCTGATTGAAGGATGTCTGTGGAGGAATCAAAGGTGCCACACAGGACAATCTTCTCTCTGTTATCCACACAGCGGAGCTGCCCAAGCCCTACATCACCAGCAACAACTTCAACCCCATGGAGAATAAGAATGTTGTAGTCTTAACCTGTGAACCTAAGACCCAGAACTATACCTATGTGTGGTGGGTAAATGGTCAGAGCCTCCCGGTCAGTTCCAGGCTAAAGCAACCCGGTGAAAACAGGATCCTCATTCTAGCCAATGTCACAAGAAATGACACAGGACCCTATGAATGTGAATTATGGGACCGATTTGGTAGCATCTTCAGTGACCCAGTCACCCTGAATGTTCTCTGTGAGTACCTTTGGTTCCTCTGTGGTCAGGTCACGAGCTTAAATACAAACAACCAGAGGCCAGGCATCTCAGTCTCTCTCAGGTCCAAGTACAGACACTTTTATTTCTGGACACCTGAGCTGGCCATGACTCCCTGCCCTGGGAAAACCTGGGTAGGCACAGACTTAAACAAGAATATAAGGGGAGGGGATGCTCCTGTCATGGGAGACTTGGGGTCTACAGCCTGTGATGGGTCTAAGCCTGAGAACCTTAGGCCTCATCTCAGTGAACAGAGAGGGGGTTTGCCTGGGACTTGAGGGTGTGTCTTGGCTCAGAGGGACACTGTATCCCTTTAAGAGACCAGGAGCATCCCCTTCCCTCGGATGACATCACCAGTGGCTTTATTCTCTTTACTCCAGATGGTCCAGACTTCCCCAGCATTTTCCCTCCGTGCACCTATTACCATTCAGGAGAAAACCTCACCTTGTACTGCCTCGCGGACTCTAACCCACCGGCAGAGTATTCTTGGACGATTGATGGGAAGCTTCAGCAATCAGGACATAAGCTCTCTATCCTCCAAATTACTACAGAGCATAGCGGGCTCTATGGTTGCTCTGCTCGTAACTCAGCCACTGGCAGGGAAATTTCCACATTCAAGAAAATCAACGTCTCTGGTAAGTGGATCCTGCATCATTGGCAATAGGGTTTTAGGTGGAGTCTATCTGGCTTTCAGAGAAGAGTCAGGAAAACATTTTTATTCCCAGCCTGTGTCCCATGGGCAGAAGCAAATCCTAAATTCTCCTCCTGAACCCTCCCAATTTGTCTCTACAGACTATCTTCTCCTTGTTTTACTGTTTTCTCATGGTTGACCTTGTGTCCAGCCTGAGAAAGGTTGGGAGGGGGCTTTGTCAGCCCTGAGCCCTATGTGGTGGAAGAGGCTTCAAAGAGGGACAAGAAGGAGAGTCCTCAAGATCAAGTTGCTTCTCGCTGTCACCGACACATCCCTTTCTGCCACATCTTTGTTTTCTTTTACCTACTCCCTGAGCCAAAAAGGAACACCTGAGGCTTTGAAACAAGCTCACATTTTTCCTCCAAATAAGAGGAGGAAGGCCCTTGCATGAGGGAGGAGCAACTCAGACTGCTCCCTGCTTTGCTCCGGGCGCTCTGGTGACGCCCTGCCTGACTCCACCTGGGTTGGGACCAGCATGATGGAGAAAGAGCCCTGGTGGCCTGTCCTGAATTCGGCTAAATCGAGCTGCCAGTTGAAGTGAAGCCTAGGCTGCAGGGAAATAAGAACAGAGGGAGCCTTGGGGCAGACTCTTGAGCTGTGTCCTGGCTCTGAAATCACTGGCTGTATGAGGTTGTGGGCATAGCACGTGGGACACAGCACAGAGGACAGTGAGTGATGCACACTTGGAGAAATAGGGAGATTCACCTCTGGGGCGCTGCATGGCAGGAAAGGGGCAATGCCAAAAAGTGTATATTTATAGAGAGGGTAAGACTACTGAACACTTCATATGTATCTAATATAAGACTTATCATTAACTATTTCTAAGCGTGCAATTTAGTGTTGTGTAACCATCACACTATCCATTTCCAGAACTTTTTCCTTTTACCATATTAAACCTCTGTACCCAATAAACAGTAACTCTCACTCCTTCTCCCCATAACCCTTAGAACCCAGCATTCTACTTTCTGTCTCTATGTAACTGGCTATTCTATCTTTTATAAATGGAATTATATATTTATTATCCTTTTGTGTCTGACTTATTTCAGTTAGCATATCTTGAAGGTTCATCCTTTTGGCACGATGTATTGGAATTTTATTCCTTTTTATGGTTGAATAATATTTCGATGTATAGACATACCTCATTTGCTTACCCACTTATCTTTCAATGGACTTTTCCGTTGTTTCCATTTTTTGACTACTGTGGGTAATGCTTCTCTGAACATCAATGTGCAAATATTTGTTCAAATTTCCTTCAATTCTATACGGAGCATGTCCAGAAGTGGAATTGCTGGATCAAATGGTAATTTATTGTTTAATTTTTTGAGAAAAAGCCACACCATCTTTTACAGTGGCTATAACATTTCCCATTCCCACCAGCAATGCACTAGAGCTCCAATTTTTCCACCTATTTGAAAACACTTGTTGCTTTGTGTTGCTGTCATTGTTGCTTATCAAAGCCATCCTAAAATGTGTGAGGTGGTGTCACATAGTGGTTTTGATTTGCATATCTCTAAGTATTCGTGACGCTGAGGAACTTTGCATGGACTTACTATATATTTGTATATCCTCCTTGGAGAAAACTATTTTAATTCTTTGATCATTTTTTAATTGGGTTATTGAATGTTTGCTGTTTTTCACTTGTAGTTTTCATGTATTCTGGAAATTAATTTCTTATCACACTTATAATTTGCAAATATTTTTCTCATTTCATGGGTTGCCTTTTTGCTCTCTTGATGTTATTCGGTATATAAAAGGTTTTGATTTTTATGAAATCCAATTTATCCATTTTATTTGTTGCCTATGCTTTTGTTGTTACAACCAAGAAATCATTGTGAAATCCAATATCATGAAGATTTTCTCCTATGTTTTCTTCTAAGAGTTGTAGAGTTTTTGCTCTTACATTTAGATCTTTGATCTATTGTGGGTTAATTTTTGTATATGGTGTTAGGTAAAGGTTCCACTCATTCTTGCCCTTGGATATACAGCTTGCCCAATATCATTTCGTCAGAACACTGTCCTTTCCCCCATTGAATGATCTTGGCACACTCGATGAAAATCATTCGGCCATATATGCAAGTATTTCTTTCTGGGCTCTCTGTTCTATTTCATTAATTTCTATGTCCTCCTCTATGCCAGTACCACACTGTATTCGTTACTGGGGCTTTGTAGTAAATGCTGAAATTCGGAAGTGTGAGTCCTCCAGCTTCATTCTTCCTCTTCAAAGTTGTTTGTCTATTTAGAGTCATGAGATTGAATATAAATTTTAGGACAGATTTTTCTTTCACTGCAAAAATGACACTGAGATTCTGATAGGTATTCTATTGAATCTGCAGCTCACTTTGGGTAGCATTGTCCTCCTGAAAATAAAATATTGAGTCTTCTAATTCATGAAAATAAAATGTCTTTCAATTTACTGATGTCATCTTTAATTTCTTTCAGTAATATTTTGTGGATTTCAGGTATAATCATTTCACCTCTTTGGTTAAACTTATTCCTAAATATTTTATTCTTTTTGATATTAATAGAAATTAAATTTTTGTCTTAATTTCCCTTCAGATTGTTCATGGTTAGTGTATTGAAATATGACTTATGTTTGAATGTTGATTTTGTATGGTGCAACATTACTGAATTCATTTATTAATTCTAATAGGTTTGTTCCATCTTTAGGATTTTCTACATACAAGTTCAAGTTATCTGCGAACAGAAATAATTTAACTCCTTTCTTCCAAATTGAATATCTTTTTTTAAATACTTGCCTAATTTTTCTGACTAGACCTTTCAATACTACGTTGAATAGAAATGTCAAAAGCAGCATCCTTGTCTTGTTCCTGCTCATACAGGGAAACCTTTCAGTCTTTCTCCGTTGCATATGATGTTAGCATTGGGTTTTTCACATATTGTCTTTATGTTGTGGTGGTTTCCTTCTATTCTTAGTTAGAATGTTTTTATTATGAAAAAATACTGAATTTCATCAAATGCTTTTATTGATTCAATCTCATTACTGATTATAGTTCTATTCATATTTTTGTGTTTTTCTAGGAATTTGTCTATTTCATCGAGGTTATCCAATTTATTGGCATACAATTACTTATATTACTTTCATAATCATTATTTTATTAGAATTGGTAGTAATTGCTTCATTTTCTTTTTGTTTTTTTGTTTTTTGTTTTTGTTTTGTTTTGTTTTTTGGAACAGAGGCTCTCACTCTGTAGGCCAGTTCAGGCTGAAATACAGTGGTGTGATTATGGCTCACTGCAGCCTCAACCCCCTGGCTCAAGCAATTCTCCTCCTTCTTAAGCCTCCCAAGATACTAGGACTACAGATGCATGCCACCATGCCCAGCTCGTTGGTTTTTTTTTTTTTTTTTTTTTTTTTTTTTGTAGAGACAGGGTCTCCCCAGGTTACCTATGCTGGTCCAAACACCAGGCCTCAAGAAATCCTCCCATTGTGACCTCCCAAAGTGCTAGGATTAAAGCATGATGCACCATGGTCAGACTGCATTTTCATGTCTGATTTTAGTAATTTTAATCTTCTCTCTTTTTTTCTTAGTCAGTCTAGTTAATGGTCGTCAGTTTTGTTGATTTCATTTTGAAGAATCAACTTTTGGTTTCATTAATTTCCTCTATTCTTTTTCCATTCTCCATTTTATTTTTGTCCACTCTAATCCTTATTGTTTCCTTCATTCACTGTGCTTGGGTTTAGTTTGTTTTTCTTTCATATCCTGAAGTACTAATGTAGGTTGTTGATCTGATATCTTTCTTCTTTTTTAATGTAAGAGTTTACAGTTATAAATTTCTTGCACAAGACTCTTAACTTCTCTGAATCTCTGATTCCTCACCTGAAAATTGCAACGAGAGAGCTTGCTTCATACCATTCTTTTAAATGTTTAAGGCAGTCAGTGAAACAAGATGACACACACAGACAAACCAATGTCAGCTGCTATATTACTGCCATCATCATTAGCCTTGAGGTCAAATAGTCCTAGAATCAAATGTCAGATCCACCTATTACTAGCCATATGACACCAGGAAAGTTTTCACACTACTCTAAGCTTCTGTCTTTTCATTGGCAAAATGGAAATAATGTCTACCTAACAGGATTATTGTGTGAATTAAATGAGGTACAAGTAAAGTATTTAGCACACGGCCTGGCACACAGGACATGCCCCTCAACAGTAGCTAACTGTTTCCATATACATACAGAAAAAGAGGTAACACATAAAACACTAGGACATGGTGACTGACTGCTTGTGGGAAAGAAAGGAAAAAAGCTAAGTGCAAAGAATCAAGCCTGGTATGTTAGTTTTTACCAACTGACATGAATCCAGGATGGGATTAGACATACAAGATAATTTATCAGGGAAGGCACTTGTGAAGGAATGTGGGGCAGGCAGGAAGGTAGTGTGGGAGAACCCACAGACAGCTATGCAAAGCTGACTCCTCTGAAAAAGAAACAGAAAGAAATTTTAGGTTACAATGCAGTTCTAAGAGACTTTTTGCAAGGCTGATAGGGAGTCCTCCAACCATCCACTCATTAGAGTTAAAGAGAGCCTCAGAGAACTAGGCTTGATTTCACACTCTTGCTGGGAGCCTGTGGGAAGGAAGATTTCTGTACAGAGGAGGTGGTGAATTTGAAATGCACTGACCTGGGCCTTCTGTCAATCAGGTCCCTTTCATCCATATAGATATAAAACTCTTAGTTCCAATGAATAAGACCTGGCAGGGGCTTATTCATGGCTGCCACAAGGGAGACACTGAGAAAAAGATGCAACCATGAAAAGGTGGAAAGGCAGAAAGTTCTAACGACATAGAAAGTAGCAATCAGCCTTTCTCACATCTGAAAGTTTTCTGAACTATCTGAGTGCAGTAGAGAATTGGCAGAGGACTGATCACCAACCTAGAAACATGGTGAGCGGGGGAAAAAAACTGCAAGAATATAATCATCTCCCATCAACTTTCCAACAGAAATGATGTATTCCTTTAAAAAACAATTATAGAGTACCTCATGTTACATCCTTGTTCCTGAGGCTCCCCCCTGTAAAATAACATCACCTCCATTCCATCTTCTCTTTTCTTTCCATGACAGCTCCTTCAGGAATAGGACATCTATCCTGGGCTTAATCCGATATAGCAGCCATGATGTCATTTCTGTATTTCAGGAAGACTGGTAGGTATGATGGCCTTTCTCTTGTCCTTTTTTGTGCAGGGCCGACTGCCTGCTCCCTGTACCCCACTGTCTTTTAGACATAGTTATCTCCAGCCTCTGCTCGTTTGTTTCTCAGATTCAAATGAGAAACACAGTATCACATTGTGAAACCCTCTTCATTATTTTTCACATCTCTCAATAGTGTAATTCTCTCCATTCCCACAAAGCTCAAACACTTCTCAAAGTGTTGCTTGACTTCTTGTCTCCAGACTTTGAAACGTTCCTTGCAAATGACTGCCTCATTACCTTTCTAAAATCTAGTTAATTCACTTAATCAAGAATCTCCAGGAGTCTACTCTAGCCTATTTGGTAAGTTCACATTTCTTCTGTTTACTAATCCTTCTCACTTCCTTTACCTCTACTTCCTAGTATAATTCCTCCATCCTAATTAGAACTGTCTTCCTACACCACCCTACCCTTTCACCCATATAGATATAAAACTCTTAGTTCCAATGCTACGCCTAAAAACAGGGTGAACTCCCCTCCACCATCTGCACTACAGACTTAACCACTCCCTTCATCACAAGCAATCTCTGACCTCGTGGAGAACAAAGAAATTAGGATTAACCTGTGAACCCGAGACTCACAGCACAACCTATGTGTGGTTGAGACCTTTTCCTGATGACCAATTCATGTGTTCCAAAAAGATACAGAAATGAAGAAGGCAAGGTCCGTACCCCAGGGGACATAAAGCCTAGGACAGGAAATGAGACCTGAAAATAATCATGATACTAAATAGAAAAAAGTGAAGGCCACAAGAAATCAGAGAAATATGATGGGAAATAAAACCACACATTGGAATCACTAGAATACATTTTAAAAGTGGATACTCAACCCTCACCCATGAGTTCCAGTTTAAAGGTCTAGAGAGGGACCCAGGCATTGGTAATTTTTAAGTCTTCCCTGACACTACAAACATGCAACGAGGATGGAGAATTCTTGTTGTAATAGGTAGAACTTAAAGCTAAATCAATGATTTTCAGCTAGAAGTACTGGAATTACCTAAGGACCTTTTCCAGCATACATAAGACTATACTTTTTTGGCCCTAAGTATTAATGGGCTACACCAAGAACTCAGTAATCCAGTTGGGAAACAGAAGCTGAATGGAAAAGCCACCTTATTTGATATGTTAAAATATATATAAAGCATTTTCAAATGAGTGATGAGTGATGCTAAACCTTCTCTAAATAATATTTATGGGAATGTTAATACTATGAGTATTCTACGCTGGGCGAGGTGGCTCACACCTGTAATCCCAGCACTTTGGGAGGCCAAGGCGGGTAGATCATGAAGTCAGGAGATCAAGACTATCCCGGCTAACAAGGTGAAGCCCTATCTCTACTGCAAATATAAAAAGAAAATTAGCTGGGCGAGGTGGCAGGCGCCTATAGTCCCAGCTACGCTTCAGGCTGAGGCATGAACCCGGGAGTCGGAGCGTGCAGTGAGCTGAGATCGTGCCACTGCACTCCAGGCTAGGCGACAGAGCAAGGTTCTGTCTCAAAAGCAAAAATAAAATATAATAATAAAAATAAAAATAAATTTTAAAATGAGTATTCTAAAAAAACTATATGAAATTTCTGGAAATCGAGTATGTTATCAGTCATAGTGTCATATGCACAGAAGTAACTAGATTACTAGATTTCTATGTGAGCTGTGTCTTTACCATAATAAACCTAATAAAAATCTCATTAGATTTTTCACCATAGTCATTTTAAATCTTTGTCATTCCAGGACTGCTGCTTTGATTCTTCTTTGAAGTATTTACAATCAGCTACAGTCCAAAATTGTTTTTACTTAAAGAAGATATATGGAAAAGACTCTGATGACAACTCTTGAATACAAGTTTCTGATAACTTCAAGATCATACCACTGGACTCTCTGAGAACTTTCAAAATTTTAATGAACAGGCTGATACCTTCATGAAATTCAAGACAAAGAAGAAAAAAACCTCAATTTTATTGGACTGAATCATCAAAAGGATAATGTTTTCATAATTTTTTATTTGAAAATGTACTGATTCTTTGAATGTTTTATTCTCCAGATTTATGAGATTTCTCTTTGAAGCTATTTATAATTTACAGCAATTTGGTAAAGTATACTTTTGAAAACAAAAATTGAAACATTTGCTTTTGCTCCCTATCTGAGTGCCCCAGAATTGGGAACCTATGCATGAATATTCATATGCTTATGGTAATAAAGCTATTTGCACAAGTTCAGTAAGAATCTACCCTCTTTATAACAGGACACATATGAAAACATTGGTTATATTACCAAGGCTTTGACTGGGAAGTTCTATTTGACAATACACATAGAATAAACCCATAGGGAATGCAGGCAAAGTCTAAAGTTGGCCTTGGTTTGGCTTCCTAGCCTCAAGAGGTTTTTAAAAGTTTGATCTGAGATTCTTATAAAACTTCTATCAAGCAAACTTTAAAAAGAGCCTCTATGGTCCATTACTACTCTTGCTGCACTTAGGAAAATAATCTAGGCAAGTTTGGTGAGACTCAACCTATTTGCAAACAAATTCATCCTACCGGAATTATCTTTGGTAAAATAGACTCCTATATAGAGAAAAATTATGTTGAAAAGAAAAACTATAGTACACCTGTTACGATATTGAATCACTGTTCATTATCTTTGAGTATTTATAATCCACTGGTAGAATGGACTGGATCTTGAATTCTTTTAGTTCTTCCAATTCAATTTTCTCCAATGAAATCATTAAGAACAAGAGCAGCTCTACTTTTGAAGCCATATAAGTTGGAGGTGGACAACTCAATGTAAATTTCATGAGAAATGCTCCTGTCAGAGGTGTGGGCCATTCAGAGCTCACCAAATGTTCAACGCCATGACATAGAGACACTTAAACTGCAAACCACGACAACACGTTGATGACTTTACACTGCGGATAGCTTTCCTCAAGATGTCAGAACAAGACTCAATCATGATGAGACTCTTACCTCTCTTAATTTGTCCTTGCTTATGCCTGTCTCCTTTGCTTCCTAGAATAATGCTGTACTTAGGATTTCATAAGAAGGAGTTTTTGAGAGTAAGTTAATAGCGTCAGATATATCACATCAACCACACTTTTTTTTTTTAAAGATGCAGTTTCTCTCTTGTTTCCCATGCTGGAGTGCAATGGCACAATCTTGGCTCACCACAACCTCCGTCTCCAGGGTTGAAGTGATTCTCTTGCTTCAGCCTCCCTAGTAGTTGGGATTACAGGCATGCGCCACCACACCCGGATAATTTTGTATTTTTAGTAGAGACAGGGTTTCTACATGTTGGACAGGCTGGTCTCGAACTCCCAACCTCAAGTGATCCACACACCTTGGCTTCCCCAAGTGCTGGGATTACAGGCGTGAGCCACCACAACTGGCCCACACATTTTTACATAACAAGAGATCCTTTAGTCCACCCAAAGGCTGACATTAGCTGCATCTTTAACACAACATTTTCTTCAAATGTATGGAGTTTTTTTTAGGCTTCCACTTCTATACTTGCCTATTCTTCTCACACCCTGTTTTAATTTAACATAGGCATGCAATGCTAGAAAATAGAATTGCTCTCTACCAGCTTAACGGGGGAGCCTGTACAGTTTCTGACACTTCTTGTTGCACATGGATAAATACATCGGGTATTATAGATACTCAGTTGTAAAAATCAACAAATGTGTTGCCTGGTTAAAATGACTAGACTCTTCTGGCTTCTTCTTTGATCTATTCTATTGTAGTTGGTTTGTATCTTGCCTAAGGTGCACATTCCAAACTCTTGATATTTTCATCCTGACAGTCATACTGGTAGTCTCTCTCATGTGGTGCAATCTACGAACATTTTTATTTGTGTGCAGCCATTCTTCAAGTATCAAATTGTTTCTCTTGGGCTGCAATTCAAAAACTCAAAGAAATGTGTCGTTTATGAGCCAGGGGCAGTAGCTCACATCTGTAATCCCAGCAATTTGGGGGGCAAAGGTGGGCGGATCACAAGGTTAGGAGTTCGAGATCAGCCTGGTCCATATGGTGAAACCCTGTCTCTACTAAAAATATAAAAATTAGCCAGGAGTGGTGGCGCCCACCTGCAGTTCCGTAGGGAGACCCCCTGAAACCATTGCTATGGAATAAAAGATGAAATGCTCCTGATTATTGTAAATACAAAATTGCATGCAGGATTGTGTAAAGACAATGCCAGGTCGGGCTGCCACAATGAGCGAACAGCGCGTGATGTGCTTCCCCCTGCAGAGAGCCTATAAATGGACCTGTAGTCAGGAAGGTTTCACATCACCAAGATTCCTATCCCAGAAAGGCAGATGTTCATAGCACTGGGAATGGAATGCAACCCTTGTGGAGACCCTATAAATGGACACATGAGGGGCGCCTGTTCATACGGATAAGATAAGGTTATAAACACCCTTATCTTGCCATGGCTCTTATAGGTCTCTTTAGGGTTAAGGCATACTCCCTTCTGAGAATTTTTTAGTGTAACCATTTCTCTAGCTTCACTTCCTGTTTCTATTGATTGTTTGCAACCAGCTTTTCCTGCAACTGTTACTGCTGATTAGTATCTTGCTAATCATATGATATGGATAGACTGTGTTTCTGTTTTAAGGCTCTGTTAGAAACTGCTGATGCACATACTATGTTGCAAATTCTTATCTCTGTATTCTGTACTTCTGCATACCGATGTTATGCGAAAGAATTACTTCATCCCCATGTGACCATCTCACCTCAGAATCAAACGACCCTAAATCCCTCACTAACCTAACCCCGCCCTCACTAAACTTAATAATAAATGCTGGTATATCCAGTGCATTGGCGGCATCACAGGACCATAAGGCAATGACACCGCTGGACCCAGCTTTCACTATCTCTGTGCGTCTTTTATTTCTTGACCTGCCAATCTGGCCTGGGAACAAAGAAAGAGCCCTGTTGCATTGTGGGTTGCTGGCCAGATCCCACAATACAATCCCAGCGACTTGGGATGCTGAGGCGGGAGAATCACTTGAACCCAGAAGGTGGAGGCTGTGGTGAGCCGAGAGCATGCCACTGAACTCCAGTCTGGGCCACAGAGCAAGACTCCATCTTAAAAAATAAAAAGGAGGGGGTATGGCACCAAGATGGCCGAGTAGGAACACCACCAGCCTCCATATTCCAGCATGAGCAACACAGCATACAGGTGATTTCTGCATTTCCAACTGAGGTACGGGGATCATCTCACTGGGGCATGTCAGACAGTAGGTACAGGACAGTGAGTGCAGCCCAGCAAGTGAGAGCTGAAGCAGGGCGAGGCATCACCTCACCCAGGAAGCACAAGGAGTAAGGGAATTCCCATTCCTAGCCTAGGGAAACAGTGGCACACAACACCTGGAAAATCAAGTCACTCTCACCATAATACTGCACTTTACCAGGAGTCTTAGCAATAGCACACCAGGAGATTGTATCCCGCCCCTGGCTCAGAGTATCCCAGGCCCACAGAGCCTCCCTCATTGCTAGGACAGCAGTCTGAGATCTAACTGCAAGGCAGCAGTGAGACTAGGGGAGGGGTGCCTGCAATTGCTGAGGCTTAAGTAGGTAAACAAAGCAGCCAGGAAGCTTGAAGTGGGTGGAGCCCACCACAGCTCAAGGAGGCCTGCCTGCCTCTGTAGACTCTACCTCTGGGGACAGGGCATAGCCAAACAAAAGGCAGCAGAAACCTCTGCCAATGTAAATGTCCCTGTCTGACAGCTTTGAAGAGAGTAGGGGTTCTCCCAGCATGGAGTTTGGGATCTGAGAACGGACACACTGCCTGCTCAAGTGGGTCCCTGACCCCTGAGTAGCTAAACTGGGAGACATACAAACTAGGGGCAGACTGACACCTCACACCTCACACAGCTGGGTACACCTCTGAGATGAAGTTTCCAGAGGAATGATCAGATAGCAACATTGGCTGTTCAGCAATATTCACTCTTCTGCAGTCCTTGCTGCTGATATCCAGGGAAAAAGGGTCTGGAGTGGACCTCAGGCAACTCCAACAGACCTGCAGCTGAGGGTCCCGACTGTTAGAAGGAAAGCTAACAAACAGAAAGGACCAAAACCAAACCCCCTCTGTATGTCACCATCATCAAAGATCAAAGGTACATAAAACCACAAAGACGGGGAAGAGCAGTGCAGAAAAGTTAAAAATTCTAAAAATCAGAGTGCCTCTCCCCCTCCAAAGGAACACAGCTCCTCGCCAGCAACGGACAAAACTGGACAGAGAATGACTTTGACAAGTTGAGAGAAGAAGGCTTCAGACAATCAAACTTCCCTGAGCTAAAGGAGGAAGTACGAACCCAGCGCAAGAAACTAAAAAACCTTGAAAAAAGATTTGACGAATGACTAACTAGAATAACCAATGTAGAGAAGTCCTTAAACGACCTGATAGAAATGAAAACTATGAAAAGAGAACTACGTGATAAATGAACAAGCTTCAGTAACCAACTCGATCAACTGGAAGAAAGGGTATCAGCGATTGAAGATCAAATGAATGAAATGAAGTGAGAAGAGAAGTTTAGAGAAAAAAGAGTAAAAAGAAATGAACAAAGCCTCCAAAAAACATGGGAGTATGTGAAACGACTAAATCTACATCTGATTTGTGTACCTGAAAGTGATGGGGAGAATGGAACCAAGTGGGAAAACACTCCGCAGGATATTATCCAGGAGAACATCCTAGCAAGACAAGCCTAGCCAAGGCAGAACAACCTAGCAAGGCAGGCCAACATTCAAATTCACGAAATACAGAGAATGCCACAAAGGATACTCCTCGAGAAGAGCAACTACAAGACACATAATTGTCAGATTCACCAAAGTTGAAATGAAGGAAAAAATGTTAAGGGCAGCCAGATAGAAGATCGGCTTACCCATGAAGGGAAGCCATCAGACTAACAGTGGATCTGTAGGCAGAAAATCTACAAGCCAGAAGAGACTGGGGGCCAATATTCAACACTCTTAAAGAAAAGAATTTTCATCCCAGAATTTCATATCTAGCCAACTAAGCTTCAAAGTGAAGGAGAAATAATCCTTTACAGACAAGCAAATGCTGAGAGATTTTGTCACCACCAGGCCTGCCCTACAAGAGATCCTGAAGGAGCACTAAACATGGAAAGGAAAACTGGTACCAGCCACTGCAAAAAACATGCCAAAATGTAAAGACCATCGATGCTAGCAAGAAACTGGAACAACTGAGCAAAAATAACCAGCTA